GAATTTGGAAGCAATCTTGTAGCAGAACTGGTTTAGATGTAAGTTTTGCTTTACTCAGGTCCAAGCAGAGCAACTTTTTGCATCAGAACTCGAGCTGGCAATAACTGGGACTGCTTGACTTAGTTCTGCATGAACCACACACAGAAAACTGGAAGCTTGCTTTCTTAGTGCAAATGAGGATGCCTTAAACATAACCCCAGCCTACTGAATGAACTGCTTAAACATGTGCAGATTAAAAGTGCACTTGGCCCGGACTACTCTTAACTTTTCCATTTCTCTCAAGCTTGGCCTCTTCAACCAATTAAGAGCACCCCAAACTAGGCTAAACCAACCTGCTGGTTTGAATTCAAGGCTCAATCAACAAGCCATGCAAGTATGTTAACGTTCACCGTGCACCAGGCTGCAGACCCTCGGCCAAGCACTCGCATGTGTCAGCTTCAGCTATAAATAAACTGTCTTAGGAAAAAACTCACTCATAACTTTACATCCTTGAGGAGTCCAGAAGTATTCTGAAGATCTGACAAGGTCACCTGCATTTCCTGTCTGCTGCGGTCCTCGGTTGCTACAAGGCTGCCTCAGCCTGGTGAAAGATGACCTGGTTTTAATTATTCAGACATTCGCCACTTACCAAACGGGCTACAGCAATGAAATAAAACCAGGCTTTAAAGCCTTTGGCAGCCACAGAAATGCAGCAAATTTAAAGTATATGTAATAATATGAGAGGTTGGATGCATTCAGATGTTGTTCCCAGATCAAGTCAGGTGCCAGCAGTGCTCCATGATCCTGGCTCAACTACTTCTGCAATACCCACCTAAACATCACAATAAAAACTAACTCCTAATTATAATCTTCTGGCACACTTGAAGTTTGCTATAATAATGAAGCTGACCTCCAGAAAAAAAAAAAAAAGACTACTTATGGGCCATAACCCATCAAAGAAATATCCAGAAAGTTTCTTCAGGATCATATCTATCACTTTAAACTGCAAACAAGGCATACAATTTTAATCCTATTTTTTATAATAATCCAGTAACACAATCATAGACAGATGCTCCCTATGTTTAATGACAACAGAAAGTGTTCAGTGACAATAAGAATTAGCATTATTTAAAAAAGGTGTAGAATAGACATAATTCCAGTGACTCATGGTTATCTACTGACATGCAACAACCTATTCCTATTATGCCATAGAGTTATTTCATCAAAAATGAAAAACGCTCATCATCTGCAAAGATTTGCTTCAAAGTAAGTCCTTCAATTGCTCCTCAATGATGTTACTGCATGCAGAAATTAAAACAGCTATTTTTTCCCCTGAACAAATTGCTTAAACTGTTCTCAATACTCAGTCCTTCTGAATTTTGATTTCAGCCCCAAGACAGTACTGACCATCAAAGCTGTCACGCTTGAGCTTTTCAGTGCCCCCAGGAGCCAAACCCCCGGTAACTGGCAGTATGTTCAACTTCATTCCTCCTTAAGCTGCTTCACGTAACTGCTTGGTTCCTGAGGTAGCCTTTGAATGCAGCATCAGAGCTGTGTGTACACATCTAACAGAGAAGAGTCCCTGAAAATCTTTTCAAAGATTGAGTATGAATGAAAATGTGAAAATACAACAAATAATTGCTCTGAAAAAGCATTTCACTTGCCCAGACACACACAAGCTAAAGGAAAGGGGATTGAACTCTGAAGAGCATGGCTTTTCTTTGGTAAGCATACATACATCCAAGCTGTCTAATGTGATTTGATGAAACGAGTATTCTATTCCTAAATCTCCAACTGGCGGGTTGCACAAGAGTCATGTGAAATTTCAATTATAAAATAAAGAAATCAAGTAGCTTTGAGTCAACGTGGAAGCTAAAAATACTCCCAAACAGATGACATATGTATGCTCCTGAACTTACTTTAGAAGGTACAAGGAGACTGATACTGTCTAAAAAGATTCAGTAGCTCCCAGCTTGCAAAATGCAGACATTTACCTTGTAAGATTTTAACTCGTATTACTAGAAGAGACCTGAAGGGAAGACTATCTAAAAACCTTATGACAAAGGCAACAACGCCAACGTAGACAATCTTGCTCCAGACATGCCACCCCTTATTCTTCTTATATTAAAAACTGCTTTATTTAAAAATCTGGGAGCAGACTAACAGAAGCATTAAATTCAGGGCTTGACAGGCAGCATCAGAACATGTCCTGAATAGTTTAATTTCAGCATTCTTACCAGGTTTATGAGAACAAGATGAAGTGCTAAGTTCCTATTCTGCAAGAACAGTACCAAGGAATTAAGGTAAGGTATTAAGTATGTTTGTCACTAGAGGAACACGCTGCTCTGCTAACTAGCTTAAATTTGGGAGTTCTGTATCCATCATTTTCTTTGTGATCTTTCAGAATCCAGAACTTCTGGAAAGGGTACTCCTTCCTCTCACATATTGGATGTACTCTGAAGGTTTTCAAAGAGACCACTGAAGAAATGTGAGCTGTTAACTGAAAGTTGTATTCTTTCCTTCCCTAGGTTCAGAAAGTCACAAAAGCAGATTTATGGGAGAAAACTTACAGCATTTCAGTAGTATCAAAATAAGTTAATGGAATACAGAGAGAAAAGCTATCAAATAGATAATAAATACTAATATCTACAAGACCATATATTGTACACCACTGGCAGGTATTCCCTATCTTGTTCCACCATCAGTAATGGGGCCAGATGCAAGAGAAATTTTCACCACAGCCTCTTACTTTTGTACATTCTTTAGTACCAACATAACAATAATGGCAGCACACAAAACTGAAGGCTTCCACAAGAATCTTGTGACTTAAGTAGCCTGGTTCGTTCAGGGAAACAGATCTGAAGTGGATAAAATACTCCCCAAATGTAACTTACATTCTGAAAGCTCTCAAAATGCTTGACCAGCTTATTAGGACTTTAAAAAGCTGATGCAGAAAGCTGAAAGATGCATGAAGTAATACACTCATAATATAGTATAACATTAAAAACAAACACATGTACTGATGAAATTTCTTCTGAATGAAAACATCAGCTCTACCCCCCAGTGCCCAATTTTTAAAATCTATTAATAAGAATTCAGGGCAACCCTGAAGTCCAGAAAACAATATGAAGCCAAATCAAATGCTTTATCTAATAAATAATTACGATGCAATGTGTTATAATAAAGACTGAGTACACAGAAAACCTCACTGTAATTACTTAACAGTTTACATTGGAGTTAGAAAAGCTGTTTAAGGACAGGTTACTGAAGTAAAGAAATTTAATAACACACGTTAATTGCTATGCTCTATTCAGTTAGGAGCACACAAGAAACATGAGCTATTAGTTTAGAAAGAAAACTGCAAGTTCAGACATTTGAGGTTTTCTATAGCAACTCAAGTCCTCTGAGAGCTGGCAGGATCGACTCTCCAATAGCTGGGAAGAGAAGACCTCAAGCAGGAGTTAATCCTGAAAAAATCTTGCAGAACACAGGTAAATGGCCCAATAGGGATTAATATACTTAGCCAAACTTTCTCCTTTTCAGAAACTGTTGTGAAATAAAGTATTAAGTCATGAGGGTTTGGAAGGCTCCAGCCTAAAGGACTAAGCCTTCCACTTTGTCTCAGACAACAGGAAATTGGTTTAATCTTTATACTCCCACACACAGGCAGCTCTGCTCCTCAGAAATGTGTTTTCCAGATATAAGTGCTCTAGCTTGATACCCGTCTGAAAGTGATGAACAGGCAAGAGGACGATCATGTGCTTAGAGAAGTAAAGCTGAAGCTGAACACATTAGCTTTCTATTAAGTTATTCAAATAGTATCAAAGATTTCTTGGATAGCTCACCCCAAAATCATTTTCAGAATTACTATAGTCCCTGTTTTATCACATCACAACAGTTAAAGCTCTGCGACAGCTTAACTCAAGGCAAGTTACCTCAGCTGCCAAAGGTCACTGAGCTTCAAAAAGAAATCAGACACTTCCAAGCATCCCAACCCTCCCAGTTATGCACAGTATGAAAAGACCCTTCCATTTTGACTGGGACTTGTAAGAAATGCTACTATAAACGCTAAAAGACTTCGATTGTATGCACCCAAAGAGATCAAGAAATCGAGGCAATAGAGACAGCAATTTTCCACAAGTTAATTTTCTTCCAGCTATTTCTTTCGCTCATTTTTCAAATCTTACAAGTGAAAAACAAACAAGGATACTGGTGCTGCAAGCCTGACTTTGCAACCGCCCGCAGACACACAGAGGATCGGAGTGGAGCAGCTGGTCTCCCGCAGCTGGTCAGCGCTGCATTCCTTTGAGTTCTGTGGTTGCAGGCTACAAAGCGAAGCTTAACCAGTAATTGCCCCTATTTTCATATTTGAGCACACAGGTGCAAAGACAGTGGGAAAACAGGCAAAGTGCCAAAATGCAGGAGGCATTCGGGGAGTGGATTTAAGGACAGCAAGATAGCTTCCTAGTAGCTTAACAGTAACAATAACCCAGTTCCATGTTGAAAGAAAATGATTATAGGCCAGATGACAAATTTTTCATTGAATATTAAGTTGATTTATTAGTAGGTAACAATTCACAAAACTCTTTCCTAACCATTTAAAACTCCTCTGTGCTAAAGATAGCTATTTTGTCGTGAATCAAGCAGCACAACAGCATTTGCAGCAACTCCCCACTGAAGGCTGCTTCTGGTGTCTGCAGTTTATTCCCATTGCCAATAGAGAAACACAAAAGGCAAATTTTCCAATCAGAAGCCACAACTTACCTACAAGGTCCACTAATTAAGTTTTTCCTATCATTATTAGATGCCTAACCAATAGCATTTGGCTATCAATAGATGTAGAATGACAAAACTGGACTATAGGTAGCTCCCAGAAACTCAGAAGCTCCTGTCCCACACCTACTGAACACAGTACCAAATAACTTCAAAATCAGTATCTCATCACAGTACCCCAAACCGTTCAAGTTTAGGTGTTTTTTGTTGTTTTGAAAGAAGTACAGAAGTATCTATGGTGTACTTACTCTCGCTCTTTCTCTGTCAGTTTGTCATTGATGTTATCTTTGATTGTAGACCTGGAGCCCTTGTGGATTATGGGATACCTGAGTGGCACTTGTAAGAAGTAGGATATCATTGAAACCAAATGAGCGGTGTAGCCCAGGGCAACAGCAATACTTCCATCATCTTTTGCTGTCAATAATAATAAAAAATCCATTAAATAAATCAGTTGAATCTCAGTGCAGACTCAGCACTTCACGAAGTTATAACAGACAGATCCAAGTAAAAACAACTTTAGACTGCTTTGCAATTATTTTCAGTTCACCCTTTGCCTCTTACTAAAGGTGACATAAAGTGACTAATGACATATCCTCCGTCCCATTTTACACTTTTGAAGCTTAAAGTTACTCTTCCCAAAGTCTCGTTGGGTCAGGGAGGGTGAAGAAGAGATGGAAAAGTGGGAAAAAAATCCCAAGACGTAACTCAAGACTTAAACTTTCTGCACTTCTCAATATGCAGGTGACTTATATTACCAGGGTCAGAAAAAAGCTGCATTCCTCCATAGCTTTACTCATTAGAGAGATCAGTTGCAGAGAGACTGACCCCAGGTTCTGTGCTCTGTTGTCTGGCAGTAAGGCGAAGAAGTTAGATTAACCCATTGTTTTAAAGGGTCATTTCCAATTTGACATTTAAGGTTGCAGCCTTAAAGCTTCACTTGCTGGGAATAAACAGGTCTTGAGATTCAAATTACATCCTTTCTAGAATGCAAATACCAGCCATGTAAAGGCTTCTCCTTTCTGATTCAGTTTTTCCTTCCCCTCTTCCTTGTAAGTGAGCATACCAATACAAACACCACGACAGAATCATCCCTACTGAGGCACAAGGGAGTCCTGGGCAAATAACCAAGGGCATTCTAAGAAAGCTTTTAATGATGCTCAACAATGTCTGAAATCATGCTGACTTCTACAACAAGAGATGATGCATGGATTTAAGATGTTAAATCCTTTTAAAAAAGGATTTTGTTAAACATTCAACCTTTGAAGCAACACTATTTTTGCAAATAAAATCACTGATCCTTGAGATGCCTTTTTTTTTTTAATATTTTCTACCAAGAGTTTGAACCAAGACACAGCAAGTCAGACAACTCCATATTTCACTAATTTGAATGCTAAGTACTTCTTCCCTGTAAAACTGTATTTCCAGAGACTTCGATAAAGAATTAAATCATTCTTTTGTGAGGAGTTAATAGCAATAAACTGAAAACAGGCCAAAAGACACACACCACTGCCTTCTCAAGAATTACAGAACTGAATTCATTCTCACAAGTGCAACCAGGAAAACAAATTAATGTGTTAAACATTATTCCTCCATTATTCGAGCATTCGATATACCCGCTGTTAGTACAAATTAACTCCTCTCGGATGTTAGATAATCAATTGAGGTTTTTGCCCAAGAAACCGTATGACTGGCAGAGTGAACAAGTACTAAGAGCAAGAAATTCCCAAGGGGATTTTAATGAAGTTCCAATTCATGTCCAACACCTACAGGTGAATGCACACAGTTACCTGTATGACCCTTACACAGGCAGGCATATGGATTTGCTTCTGCAAAAAGATGATGTGCAAAGTTACAGTAGAAGCCGACTCGTAAAATCCTGCCATACCACAGCAGGAATCAGTGTCAGGAAGTTTTAAGTCATATTTATGCAAGATGTTTATTGGTATGTTCATCAGGAACTGCAACAAACTAAATGGAGACTCATGCACATTGCCTGAGCACTATTTATAGATTGAAACTGGGAAAATGCAATTTTTTCCCCCCTAGAATGACTGAGTTTAGAAGGCAGCTCTGGAAATTGCCTATTCCTACCCCTCTGCTCTCAGCAGGATAAGCTACAGCAGGTACCAAGGAGCACAATCTGAGCTCTGAGTATTTCTAAGAAAGGAGGCTCCACATCCTCTCTGGATAACCTGCCACAGCATATCACTGATTAAACTTTGAATACAGAAGTACTTTAGAGTCAGTTCCTAGCTAGCATGAAGGCAGTTTGTAAGAATAAATAGTGAGCAAGCTTTCTTCCAGTCCAAACCTTTCCAATCAGAAATGTGGATCCGTAGCCATTACTATCAATTTACTTAATTTTATTATGTTTAGAAGCAGTGTTAACTGTAAGAACTAAGTTAAGAATATCCAGCTACCTTGAAAGTCTTCAGAATTAGGAAGCTTGACTCCACAAACAAAGTAATCCTTTTGATCATTCTGCAAGTTTAAAACCAACAATGGAAAGTGAGAATGAGACAACAACAGCCAGAAGTCTGTAAAAAAAACCCAATGACAACAAAGCATCTCGTAAAGAAAAACTAAATATTCAATGAAACCCAGACCGAGATAATGTTTTAGTAACACTTCAAATAATTCAAAAAAAAAAAAACAAAAGCAACTTTTTTTTTTTAAGGGAAGAGCTTTACCTTAATTCATTGCAGAAAAAGGTTTAGGAGTTCTGTATTTTGCCATCTGTTTTTGTGCACTCTAGTAAAGTTCAGCTAGCTTACTGTCAAGGTTACTTTATAATAATTACATACAAAGTGGCAAGTATCCATTAAGTTGTAGTTATATACATTCTACTCCTATAGTTGAGGCTATTTGAATGATGCTGGCATAAGTCCTCTCTGTGTGAGGTTTACAACTTAAGGACCAGATCCAAGAAAAGGTTGTAAAAAGCAATATGAGGGAAAAGTCTGATCCTACAGAAAAGCAAGGTTTGTTCCAGGTGTGAAATGAGCTTCCTGTTTACAACAAGAATACATTTTAGACCATTTGAAACATACCAGATCAATAGGGTAGATGTAAGACAGCTCTGACAGCAACTGCTTGCATCGAATGGTCTGCTGGGCATTTGTCTTCAAAAACAGTTCTCTGCAAGGGAAAAGAAACCAAAATCATTAGTTTCATGGACAGCTTTAAGCAAAGCTATCAACCCCCATCAGCCCCACTCCCATCAAAAGAATTCTACAAGGATGGCTAAAGGGACAAAGCAACATTTTTAGTTCTATCTTATATTGTAGGCATATTTGGACTACAACAATTAACCATTACAAAGCAGTGCTTCACCAAAATAAACATAGGTTCTCTCATAGCCTACACCTGCACCAGAGCCCACTTCCTTTGCTTCTAGACTTGCTACAGTTAATTATCACTTTAGATAACTAAAAACTGTAGCAGAGAGGACTTAATAGAAGTTTTAGGGCAACAATAAGGAAGACTTGGGTGCAACAGAAGTCCCTTCTCAAACCTGTATGTCTTTACTGACTGTGGACTAGTGGAAAAAAATCACGGGCCCTTTTACCTCTTAGCAGTGCATTCTTTTCTTAATTCGTACAAGGATTCATTATACTCTTGAAGCTTCTGGTACTCAGCCTCAAATGCATTTTCTATATGAGGAAACAGGAAAAACACAATTAGCATCACGTATTTTGTTAAACCTGAAGCTGTAAGAGTAGATACTGACACGAGTGTTGGCATTAACCCTCCATTTAGTCTCAGGTGCCCATTTGCTCTGACATGCTGCCAAGCTGGGGAATGACAGTGCAGGAGGCACACCTGCCTTCATGCCCCATACACCATTCACCCAGCCAAGCACAACCTATGAAAGCTCATTCTCCTTTTACACCTGTTCCCTTCACATCCACAGTAATGTAACTCCGTTAAAGCAGCTCAAGTACTTGCACTGGCAGAGTTAAGCAAGTCACACGCACTTCATTTTTAGTAGTGACTCATTATTTTTGGACTCTACTGGGAATTCAAAAAAGTCCTGCAACAAGATCAGCCAGCCATGTCGTTTGGTTGCTGGTGAGCTCCAACCAAGACGCAACCATGTAGAGTCTTACTGTAAAACACTTCCAGGGTAAAATAAAATGCCAAAAAGGCCAAGCATTTCACCTTTCACTTATGTAATAAGCTCTCAAGATTGATTTTTTGTCTTCCAACTCTTACAGTGGGATCCTAGGCTAACAGGTACATTAAAATCCCTTGTGACATTAAAATATGGCTGCATCATGCCACCGTTTACTGCATTACAGCATAACTCTTCTCATTTTCTTCAGATAATTAATTAAGCACAGTTTTAAGGCTGCTTTAGAGAGGCATCACGATAAGAAATTGTTTAGAGGCAGAATACAAGAAAGGGCTGTCCAGAATTCAGTATAACAGATGGTGAAGAGATTTTATCTGACTGTAAAGTTTATCTAAAGGTAGGCAGAAGCACTTTAAAGCCTGATCAAAAAAAATAAATCAAAAAACCAGTACCTTCATCATAAGATAGTGTAGTGGTTATATCATGCGAGGTTTTAGTAACAGTGGGCTGCAGGGGCAACCTCTGTGAGCAGAGCCCAGCAGCTGCCCCATGCCAGATCAGAGCCAGCTCCAGACAGCTCCAAAAGGGACCTGCCACTGGCCAGAACCAAACCAGTGACTGATACTGTTTGTGCCTCTGTGAGAACAGATTTAAGGGAAAAAATTGCTGTGATGTAGCAGCTGGGAGAGTGGGGAGTGAGATCCAGCCCTGCAGCCCCCAAGGTGAGTGCAGCAGCACAGCAGGAGGTACTCCAGGCACAAGGCAGCACAAGTTCCCCTGCAGCCCATGGAGAGGCCCCTGGTGGAGCAGGCTGTCCTCCTGCACCCATGGGTCCCACATGGAGCAGATCTCCACACTGCAGCCCCCCACGGGTGGAAAAGCCCCCAGTGGAGCAGGTGGATATGGCCTGGAGGAGGCTGCAGCCCATGGAGAGGAGCCCACGCAGGAGCAGGGGGTCTGGGGGGAGCTGCCACCCGTGGGGGACCCGTGCTGGAGCAGTTTGCTCCTAGGGGATGGACCCAATGGGATGGAGCCATGTGGGAGCAGTTCTTGAACAGGATCCCACAAGCTCAGATTGGAAAGACAGCATCCTGCAGGGGCAGAGAAGGACCATGAAGGAGCAGTGGAGACGAAGCACCAAGGACTGACTGCAGCCCCAATTCCCCTGAGCCACTCAGGAGGTGGAAGAGGGTGAACTGGGGGGCAGGGGTGGGGAGGTATTTTTACTTTGCTTTTAGTTTCTCACTGCTCTAGCCTGTTTGCAATAAGTAATAAATTATTTGAATCTTCCAATACTGAGTCTGCTTTGCCCATAATGATAATTGAGTGATCTTCCTGTCCTTACCTCAACCCTTGAGCCCTTTCCAACCCATTTTCTCCCCCTTCCCCTTTGAGGAGGGGGAGTAAGGGAATGGTTGTGGTGGAGTTCAGCTGCCCAGTTGGGTAAAACCACCACAGCTAGGCTACTACACTTCTGATCAATGGATTACAGATACCTGAACCAGAAGCAGTAACACCTGTACACTCACCTCGGTCATGCAAAGTGTTCTTTTCCTTATGCAGCGAGGCTACTTCATGACCAAGGGCCTTCCTCTGTCTCTCCAGTTCGTTACGTAGCACCAGGATCTTCAGCTGTAAACATTCACTCTCCTTTTTCTATCGGAAGAAAACCAGACTCCAATAGGTAAAAATTGAAAGTATTTTATTCATCTTCAAGTTTTTCTTCACATAAGTAGTTTTGTAAAAGTGATGATAGGAAGAAAGGGAAAAGTAGGACAAGACTAGTGTCTGGCAGACTAAGAAGTGAGACAACAGATAACGAGGGACCCTAATCATTTTGCTGCTTTGGAAGAAAAAAACCTCATCTTTCGTCTGGTGTGTTTGTTCGTCCTATAGGATATATCCCTTCTCCTGTGCTCAGTGATGCAGCCTGGCCCAGGGCAGAAATTAAGAGATGAAGGAGATGCAGTAGGAAATATCTGCAGGATGAGTATGTGGACAGTAACAGCAGAGTGCTAACAGCACGAGAATTCCCTGGCAAAGGGCTTGGTAACAAGAGAGGAGCTGAGCAATGAGGAGCCTGGGCTAAATTGAGATAGGGAACAGGAAAAAGGCTGGAAGTGTCTGAGCTGCGCTATTAAATTCTGTTCCCAGCTTCAGAGCAATGAGAAAAGAGGATCCACATGAGAAGAAAACAGAGCAGGGAACAGATTATGTCATTATGCATAGTTATATTAGAAGGATCTCTCCTTTAAAATTAAGGCTTTTTTTTCCTGTGTCTTTAAAGATTTATTTTATTTGATGCATTTTCTTCACTAAGAAATTACACTTCCATGAGAACAGTGAAACAGAATTTTCTTCTATTAAAGGGTGGGTTGGTTTTCCTGTTTGGTTGGTTTTTTGGGGGGAGGGATGGGGAGAAAATATAATATTTATATTTTTTCCCCACCATTTTCAGTTTGGAATACTTGTTAAGAGTAACTGAAGATCGATTCAAAATGGAAAAAGAGAACTTGCATCCCTCTAGTCCAGCCATACCCCCGGACAGAGCTCAAAATGTGAAGACATCTCTGCGAGCACAGCTTCTGCAAACAGCACCAGGCACTGTCACTTCATGCAACGCCGCCAGCTTTCACTTTTTCCCCAGCAGCTCATGGAGATAATGTTACTTCAACGCTAACTGCATGAGAAAAAGTCAGCTCTTCTTGAACTCTTCCCTCTCCTTATTCGCCTCAGTAACATGTGTGCACCCAGCCTTCTGGTTCAAGGCTCCAGCAGGAAACGTGACTCAGGATTAAGGAATGAAACTACAGCTCACCCATTTATAAAGAGGGATGGAAGCCCAGGAAGAGTTTTGACTACTAAACAAAAGAAAAATGGGTAATCATTTCCTTATACCATGTGCCATTTCACTAAGAAGCTGTATCACATGCATTATCAGTGTCATTTCTGGTTTTAATGTTGTTCGTGTAGTTTTGCTCCACATATTTATAAAGGAAAAGCCTTCGTATGGAAAGACAAGGATATCCATAACTGGAAAAAGATGATAAAGATGATTAAAAGCCTTTTAACAGCCAAGATACCAGCAGAAGGCAAACAAGCTCCAGGTTGGAGTCACTGACAGGAGATGTTATATTGCTCTTAAGGGAGTTGACTTCATCTACAAAGCAACGCTGCTATTAGGGGTCTTCCCCACTCTTCCATTTTATCAAACCCTTAGTTTAGTTTGACACCTCTTAAAACTAGCTGAATACGCTCTGGTTTTGCACAGGGAGCAGGGTACAGGATAGACTCATTCCACTTTAAATCCACTGCAAGAACCCATCAAGATTTATCATTAAAGGTTTGTGTTTCCTGATAAAACTCTTGTATTTCCTATGCAGTTTTTATGCTTTGAGAGTATCAGAGCAATTATAATACAGCTAAAGCAGCACAAGTGATCTATAAACCCATTTGAGTAGCTCACACAAACCTGAAATCTGCTACATTACACTTCTCGGTTAAGTTTCCTTTTGAAATGCTAGGTTTAAGTGAAGATTTTACACGCGTGTTTTTTACAAAAGCAATTTTATGGTCAGTACATCACGGTGCTTCAACAAGCCTGTACAGTAAGATTTTAAATTATCAGACTTACCAGTTCATTGCTTGTCGATGTACATCTCAGCTTTTCTTCAATCTCCCTTCCTATTTTCTGAACAGTTACCTGAGTCTGTTTAATTGCACACTGGGCTCTGTGAAGCCTGTAAAGAGAAGTCACAGCTGTTACTAAAGGTTCCTGTACTAAAGGTTCCCCATATGCCCTGGTGATGAATGCACCAGGCATGTCAAAAGCAGCAGAGGCAGTGGGAATTTGGATTGCCAGGCTCTGTTTTGAAATGAACGAAACATTAGAAGAGGAGTTACAACTTGCACATTTCACAAATAAGTGGTCAAAAGAAACCAGCGTGTCTTTAATTTCAATCAAAAGTGACAGATGTCTTTCATTTGTCAAATTCAATAGATGTAGATCATGCAGAGCTATAATTACAGGGTTCTCATGTAATATTTAGGCTATAGCACAATTAATAGAGTGAAGACATGGGTACACACGTGGCAGTTACCATGAGCATCATTAACATGGGCAAACTTTATTTTTAAGTGCAAACATCCCTTAGATAACACAGAGGTACCCGAGTTGAAAGCACAATGTCCACTTTTCCCATTCACAGCTTTACAATTAAGTTTTTCTCCCTTTGTTACAGCATTATTTAGGCAGCCCTGGTGCTGGAGTAAGAATTTAACTCCACTAATGCCTGGTCAGAACAGTAAAAAAAAAAAAAAAAAAAAAAAAAAAAAGGAGTCAGAGAACCCACGGCACGAAGTTAACATTTGGCCAGGCAAACACGGACCAAGCCTGTTCCAATACAAGCTTTAATGACCACCTCTGCTTAGCCAAAATTAAACTCTGCCTTATAGGAACATTAATTTTTACTAAAAGGAAGGCTGCACATTTTCTGTGAGCCAAGGACCAAGGTATATAGAAGAGGCTGCTCAGCTCCTTCTTTATATGTTTTCTAATACCTTCCAGATTTACAAGCAATTGAGGCATTGCTATTTAAAGCTTTTGGCTAGAGGTTTTTAATGGTCTGTATGCAGTTAGATCGGGATAGCCAGGCTACGTGCTTCAAGAGTGAGTGACCCCAAAGTATTCATCTCCTCACACCACCTCCCCTCAGCACCCTACCTTTAGGCAACAGCAGACATTAGGGATTAGTTTAATCACCATGAGGACATCACCCAAACCAGCTAGCCCAGTAAACCAATCCACAGAGAGGAGATAATACAGACAACAGGGAAAAATTAGTGCTACTGATATCAAACAAGGTCATTACCAATTCGGACTCCTGCATGTTGTGCAAGAACATTCATGGTGAATACATTAAATCCAGAGCTAGCTTCAGTTCCTTCACACCATTGCTTCTCCTAAACACCACCCTCCGAAATAGATTTTTGTTTCAAATTGTTACTAAAGAGTTGGAAATGAGGAGACATTTCTGCTCAGCAAGAGCGGTCAGGCCTTGGGGCGAATTGCCCAGGGAGGTGGGGGAGTCCCCGTCCCTGGGGGTGTTCAAGGAGAGGTTGGACGTGGTGCTTGGGGACAGGGCTTGGTGGGGACATTGGTGGTAGGGGGTGGTTGGACCAGACGATCTTGGAGGGCTTTTCCAACCCTAATGCTTCTAGGATTCTCAGACTGTTCAGAAGATAGGCACTTATGGTCTTTTGGGGGGCAGCTGTACCCCATCTAAATCACATACAAAGCAGAATGGCTCCGCTAGCTGCCACCAGGCTGGGGGCTTAAAAAATAATAATAAAAATAAAAGAGACTGCTGAGGCCAACAGCACTGGGTCACCTGAAGGCCAGTCCCATATCATAAATGAAGTCCTGGGACCTTCTGCAGAGGCACCAAAACATCCTGAGGCTGTTGGCTACCCAGCATGTGCTTACATGGGCCCAAACCAAGGCTTGCTGCCTGTCCCGAAGGTCACCCAGGGCTCTGCTGCCAACTCAAACAGCAGGGCTTAGGTTCCCTACTCCAACGGTTTCCAGCTGTCCTTTTGGGAAGCTCTGGAATGTTTTCTTTCCAGACACTGGGAACTCTTACCTGGACATAAGATGTACATGGAAAGAGCAATAATTGAGTGAAACGTACCTTTCCCTTTCTCTTCCCTTCATCTCATTCTACACTGAAGAGCACTCTCGTTAAGTCTGCTAGGCCATCAAGAAAGCACCGTGGTACACCATCAACATCACACCACTTAGGCAGCAAAATCCCACTGCTGAGAAGCCTTCTACTCACTGAAAAAGCATTTGTGAACCTAAAAACTTATCAGAGGGTCGCTTGCCATGCTGCTTCCTTTAATCAATGCTTGGCTACCAACCTGAAGTTTTGTAACACCTTCAGGTCCTACCTACACCCAAATACAAGGAACAAATACCTACCTGGACTGACTTTTACACCAGTACATACCTTAGGATGCTTCTATAATTTGGTGAATCTCTATCTAAAAGTATATTCCCAATCTATAGACTACTGTACAGAATAATTCTGCAATCAAACTCGTTTTTAATATTAAATGGGTTTTCTTTTTAAGCTGAATATCATCCTGGCATTCCTTGCATGATTAAAAGTGTCCTACGGTTAAACTTGGCTGCCTTGATGCCAAACAGAGCCATTTACACTGAGTCGACCAGTATCAGCAGGTTTTTGTTCCTGCAGCCTCTGTATGCGAGGACTTGAAAATGGCAACAAAAAGGTCACAGCCACATCTGAAGCTCAACCTTCCAAGCTGAAAGTTTCAGGGACTTCATGTTGCAAAAGCAAGAACAGTCAGAAATTTTCTTATTTCTCCATCCAAAAAAAAAAAAAAAAAAAAAGAGCCCCAACTGCACCCACATGGAAATCTGCAGTCATCCAACTGTAGGATCACAAGCTAAGCCCGAAGAACATCAACTGGAAAATCTGTCTGTCATCTTCACAGGCACAAAAGGCTTGGAGGAATAAATTATGCCTGCACCAGTGAACGGAGATCACCAAGTTTAGGCCATAAATCTGGATTAGAAGTTAGATATAATTAGCAGAGAGAAGTTTCAACACTAATTGTCCACATATTGTTTCCATTTCTAGCCTGAACACACGTCCAAGGCCACGGGCTGAAGTTAGCACAGTTTGTGCCTTGAGTGCAATCCGCCTGGGTTTAGTAATCGACAGCTCCCAGCCAACTGATGGCATAACCTGCGTGCTATCAGCCAAGGCAGGATTCTTCCTACATCGTTTAAGAGGGAGTTTTAGTATTATTGTTATTAAAATTAGCACTTACACAGCACTTTAAGAGCTAATTCAGAGCTTGGAGAGGCCACCGCTGGCTCGCTATCAAATTTCCTTCAGTGGTCAGGAAAGCCAAGCCAGTTACAGCAGAACTGCAGGTCTTTTTAAGGAGAATTTAGCCAAAAGTGTCGTCATTCTGCGCCTGCAGGCTGTTCTGGTGTCCCTGCAGCAGAGTCAGAGGGACGTAACCGTGGCAGATTTACTGCTGGAGCTTGGGGCCCCGAAAGCTGCTGCGTAATTGTCCAGGCTCAGGTGAGTCGCACGCTGCTGCCTGGGGAAGCTCTGGAATCAAAGCAAACATTAAAATTCCTTGCAGGGGGAGGCCACCCTAAACTAGTTTGGATACCAAAACATCAGCCCTGTGCTGTAATCTAAGACCAGCAAAATCTGCATCCCTAATTGATCTAACAAGAACCCGCAGGCAAAAATTCAACATCTACCCTCATCGCTTCCCAGTTCCCGAGTTGATGAAATATGGGCTAATTGGGGTATTTCTTCAATGCTTTTCAAGTCTAAAATAAGTGTTTCCTCTTCCCCCCCAAAAAAGCTACTCTTTACCTTGGCTGTAAGATGTGAAACATTTTTAGCATACGATATCCTGCCAAGAAAAAGCTGAGTAATTTCATATCTTTGAACATCTTTAGGGTTGGATTTATTGCTCTGGCAATCGATTCTGCTTGGGTACCGACCTGGAAAAAGCAAGTTGCCAAGTTTGGGACTTCTTCACTGTTACAGGACTTCTTTGCAACAACACCCTTGTCTTGTTTGCACAATAAAGTCATTTTCCCAGCTTCCCAAGGAAGGGGTCTGACATGATTTTACAGCTAAGGAACATGCTGTAACACCACATTTGCTCTCTTCCAGCTTGCAACAAGCTCGAGGCAATGTTTGAAGCTTCAGCTGAACCCCTTTCCTTTAGGACACTGCTGTATCCTCTTGTAAGCGAGGCATTCCTCTCAGTCATGCATTGCTCTGCTGATTTACTGCTTTACACAGCAAGTTCATTCCTGGCTACGATCTTGAAAAAACAAAAGCTGGAGTCCTGTGATAGTTGTGCTTATTAAGCTAACATAAGTTTATATTCACATTAATCAAGAAATCTCAGCTTTATTAGACACTTGATACGCTGTTTTGTAGTTCTATCGTACACTCCAAGTATCTCTCTGCTTCTATCAGACATCTGGGTTTCTCGTGTACACAACTTTAAGCCATAAATACATCCATTAATTACAGCAGTCACATACTACGGCTACTTCTCCCAAGAAGAAATAAATGCCTCTAGTCCCATTTGCCAGAACAACCTCGGTTTACAATGAGCCTAAATTTAAACTGAGAATTATTAGCAGGGATTTAGAAAACGGAGCAGAACACCTCTGGCGACGAGCGAGATGCAGGATCCTGGAAGTACAATACCCAATCCTATTATTAAAAAAAGCCAAGACTTTCCTAATAAATACAAAAAATTGAATGCTCGCTTCTTATATCACTCCAGAAATTATATTGTAGGGAATGCCAGCCAGCTATAGCATATATAGATTTTTTTACACAGCCCCTTAAACCACCATTTGCTACATCTCCTTTCCCACAAGAAAAATTTTCCTGATTTATTTCATCTACTCCCTTTCCCCACTTCCCTCAGAAACCCATTCCTACAGTTCGTAGGAAGCAGATGGAGGATGAGAGAAGACAGTAGGGAGTAAACAGAGAATTAAATCATGTTTGACTCATTCACTGATGGCATTAAACCTCTCCAGCAGTCAGTGCAGGAAGGAGCTCACTGAAAATGAAGCTTTTGAAGCACAGATACTTTCCATCACCCTTTCAGTTTTGAATTGACTTACGTAGGTAGGACAAATTAAGTTTCTGAATAATTG